TAGTGGCACTGCTTGGCTCTGCTGTCACCATGCTCCAGGAGAAGGGGAGGTAGTGCCCTCCTCCATGCCCAGCACTTGAGCCAGTGGCCTCCCCCACTCCAGGATGCCCTGCAGCAACCCTGGTGCCCACCCAAACCATTCGGTTCCCCCCAACCCTGGGACCCAGGAGGGGGGTGGAAGACAGAAAGGGGCATAGACACAGGGGTGACACAGGATCCCCCAAAGGAGGGGGGCGAGCTGTGAGCCCTGGGGGTGCAGGGTAGCAGCAGGTCTGGCAGGGCCCAGTGCAGAGGTGGGTGCTTCTGTCACCATCTCTCTCGCTGCCAGACAAGGCTCAGGCCTTGGCAGGGACACGTCAGCCTCCCACAAGCACTGGGGAAGAGGAAACTGCACAAGGCAGCAGGTTCAAGGCGGCTCTCAGGAACACAGCAGGCTCGGGCAGCAGGTAGCAAGTCAGTATGGTTTATTGGTTTAAATCCAAATAGAAACAGGAAAGGAACCAAATCATTTCCAGCCTCCACCTGCCCCAGATGCAATAAAATACCTGCTTATTTTTAAAAATAAATAAATAGAGAAAGGGGAAGATAGCCCCATCCTGCAGCCTCAGCAGTGTCAGGAGACCTTGGGGCTCAGGGGTCCTCACGCTTCAGGTCTGGGGCAGCAATTCTTCATCTACAAGTATCTTTTTGCCCAGCCCAGGTACCTCCAGCTGAAAGGAGGAAGGTAGGAGAGAGGGGTAACACATGCACCACTCCATCCTTGCCTACAGAGGCAGGCCCTGTGTCCTGCCGTTGGGGAAGAAGGGCCTGCGGAGCTGTGACATCCCTCAGAGATGCTCAGAACTAGTCAGGACAATACCCTGAGCAAGCCAGTGTGAATGTGAAGGGGGCCTGGAAGGGATCAGAAGATCCCCAGGGGCTCTCCTCCAACCCCCAGCAGTCCTTTCCTCCCCTCACCCTCCGTACAGCAGCAGAGCCCCAGAGGATGCAGCTCTCCACGGCTGGAGGCAGGACTGGCTTGTGCGCAGGGTCCTGGGGCCTCTGGGTTTGCTGTAAAGGTTGGTGACAAATTGCCAGTTTGTCACAGAGACCATGCTCCCTCCATGGCCTCGGTTCTGGGGGTTGTCAGGGGGTGCTCTAGTGTGTCCCTGCTGGCTCTGTGTGGTGCGATGGCTTCCCAAGAGGACGCAGCATCATCAGCTGTCTCTCCCTTGCCTCAGGGAACACACTCTGCCGGTGGAGCAGCTCTCCAGCCCCTCTCACAAGCAGCAGCACACCAAGATATTGCCCTGTGAGGGAGGACAAACCTCCCCCAGGAGGCTGCTGCCCACAGCCCTCACTCCCTTGCTAGAGGAAGTCTGGGAATGGTGCTACCTGTGTGACATTCCCAAACCCCATAACCCAGTGGCACCACTGGCTCAGCTCTCTGTGCCTTTGTCCTAATGACCCAGACAGCATCTACTACCTGCTTCCTGTCCCCTCCCAGCCTGCTCTTTCCCCCTCTCCCTGTGTTTTTCCTTCACCCTCCAGAAAGCCATTTTAGCATCATAGCACCCTGGCTGTCCTGTCCACAGCACCTGGAAAGAAAAAGGAGAAGATGGAAAGGCAATCTCCATTCTGCTCCATGCTGTGGGAAATTCAACCCTCTGCCCCCAGGAGACCCAGGACCAGAGGTCTTTGGTACTGCACCAGACCAACCTGGACAGGCTTTCTGCCTGGTGGGATGGTGGTGAGTCAAGCCAGACAAGAGAAGGGCAATTCCACCTTCTCCAGAAAGCAAAGTATCCCTTCTCCCCACGTGAGCTCTGCACAGACATGACAGATCACAACATGCAAATGTACCATCTTCAACATACGTCCACATGGACCCAGACATTACTCACAGACACAAGGAACTTTTGGGATCCACTGATGTCTTCTTGGGGAAATGGTGACTGCCAAGATGCCTGTGCTGCCAGGAGAGGAGGGGGGGGACAGAAGGCCTGAGACACAGGCAAACAGCTAATGTGACCTCCACCAACCCAAAGAGGTGTTAGCCAGCAGCGCTGGACCTCAGATGTTCAGCCTGTGGGAACTGAAGTGCCTTTCCAGAGGTTCTCAAGCAGGGATAGAGAGGGATCCTTGTGGTTCCTTTTCCTTGGCCACACTGGATGCTTGGGCTGGGGTCTCCCACAGCTGCAAATAAATACTTACATGGGAATTCCTCCTTGTCAAGACCAAAGACCCAACCTGTAGCATGCAACACAGCCTACCCCACGAGCAGCAACACAGAAGGAGGTGGCTGGCATGCCCAACCAAAATCAAACCAGGAAAACAGAAAGTGAAGCCTTTACACACCATTTCCTTTTGATTTTGTCTGGATCCCAGAACTGGACTGGGCCCCTGTGCTGACATTGTGTGGTGCCTATTGCAACTCCTCCAGTTCCTCTGAATTTGGCACATACAAGACTGTGTTGGCACTGATGTGCTCTGTGTGGCAAAGCAGGCAAGGAGACCTTAAAATATTGCTGAAAGGATGAGAGACTTTAGTTACAGGGCTGCTGGATTCCCTGTGCATGTGGGCCTGTCCTCTGCTGTGACACTCTCCTCTTGCACCCCCCACAAAACTGGAAATGGTTAAAGCCTGGGGGGTGGGGAAAGACTGTGAGAACCTCGGGAAGAGCAGTTCCCACTGCTCCTTGCTCACTCTTTCTGGAATATAAACCTAGAGAGGCCTCAGAAAGGTGGGTACAATGGGGCCTGTTGCTGCACTGGGACCCACATCCTAAAGTACACAGCATGTTTACAAGTGGGTTGCATGTGCCTTGTCCAGTACCAGTTCTCAGAGTAACTCTGGGTAGCTTTCTGTTGACTCCTGTGGCTTTTTATGGCATAATTCTACCCAGTATTCAGGCAGCCTATCTTGCTAAGGATTCCTATAAGCTCAGTATGTGGCAATTCCCTTGATGCACTTGAGAAGGACAAGGTGTCAACAGGCCACCCATTTAGCAGAGGGGAGCGTAAAGCCCCAGGAAGCTCACCAATGCCTATGCTGTCGCAAAGCAAACCTCATCCTGGGAATGGGGAGCCCAAGCCCTGCTGCTGCATGCCTGTTCTCAGCTACCAGCATCAACAATCCCATTCCCAGCCTTGCATCCCTGCTTAGGAACCTGTTTTCAACCCTCAAATACGCTTGGAGGGCTGAGGTCCAGCAAGATTTTAGGATTCTGCTTAATGACTCTCTACCTGGCTTTTAGTTGGGTCCCTCCTGCTTCCATTGAAGTTCTTTAGTCCCTTCCTCCTTCCCTCCCAAGTCCATTTCAGTACAGATGTCTTTAAAGCCACAGTTTTACTTCGAGTACTGCACCTTCACCATTCCTCAGCACTAACCACACAGGGCTCTTCTTCCTAAAGCACCAAGATGCTGCACACCACCACCACCACTCCACTGGCAAAAGTGCTGGGCTTTCCATATTTATTTCTCATGTTTAATTAATGCTCAGTATTCCAATAGGATGGCATGCAGTTCAAGCATTCTTTTAAGAGGAGTGCTGTGGGATTTCACGTGGGGATACCTGAAGTGCTATAACAGACTAAGAGCATCCACCTAACTCTACAGGGCACAGTACCTAATTCTCATCTTTGAGATAACTACTGTATTGCAAGTGGACAGTGACAGGAGACACTAACTGCAGTTAGTCTATAGACATTGCTTCAGAAACCGCAAGGATGTGCAGGTTCCATGGATGCACAGACACTGTGTCACTCTGCACCCTGCAGTATCTGAACCCAGAGGAAAACCTTTTCTGCAGTGGTTTCGTCTGGGCCTTTAAGTCATGTTAAAATTCATGTGCCTTGAGCTGCTGAAGCTCTTCCCTTCTGGGCAGTGGAATATCTGCTTCCCCCAATCCATTCTCTTTTGGCAAAAAGGAAGAAGGCCTCAAGCTACAGGAATTCACATCTCTCTTCCAGACACAGCCTGGCTGACTCCAGGGTTGGCCAGTCTCCAGTCACAATCCCACTGTATTGCATAAATACCTACAGATTGGACATGGCAGCAAGAGGAAGCTCCCCATACATCAAAGTCACCCTGGCACTGACCTCAAGGCTTCCATGAAACAGTGCCATGAGATTCAAAATCATCCTGGGAGCACTCACAGCTGTGCCACAGATCCTGTCTTGGACATAAATGATGAACAGACCAAAAAACAAAGTAAGACCATGGACTGCATATGTTTAGCAGGCAAGGGAAAGGGCTAGAAGTTCATCTTCAGCATTAGGTGGCCAACTGGACCTCAGTGTTACCAGTGCTCTGGCCGCCCTTGGAAGCCCAGCTGCTACTGGTTTTGTTGCTGGGGCTCTTTCCCAGGCCCGTAAGGATATTTAGCATTGGAATGGTAGCTCTATGAACAATCAGACTACAGAGGTGGAGCAAAATCTGACCAAGAATTCAGACCGGAGAAGACAACAGTGAAACGTAAGAGACTTTAAAAACTATCACCTGCATGAGATTAAAACATTAAAAAAAACCCAAAACACAACCAAACGAAACCCACATCACTGCAAGGACAAGCAACTTCCTTCTCTGGAAGAGGGGCTTCTTCCACATTCCATACCAGGGATATCACTGAGTTGACCTTCTAGGCAAGACAATCACAGAACGAGTAGGATGTGCAAATCCTTCCAGAGGACAACACGCTTCTCAACACGACTGTCCCTGCAAGATCCTTAAGCTTGGCCTCAACTACCAATGTGTCCCTGTGCCTTTGGGCCAGAATGGGCAGGCAGGCAACAGAAAGATGCTATAGCACCAGTTAACAAAGTTCAATGCAATTTTCAATGCATTAAGCCAAAGGATTGTCACCAAACTTGCCTTCCACGCAAGTTTTGCAAAGAGGGTAAAGCTACACTCCAGCTGCTTCTGTCCTCACGGTGCCTTTTGCATTCACTCCTTGCCTGAATTGTAGATCTTCTGAACTGTGGCACGTGTGAGCTCCAAATCCTCTGGGTACCGAATTTCTAGCTCGGTATTTGCTAGGTAGTGAATGCCAGTAAACTCCGAGAAATAGCGGCCGATGTCAGGGTGAGGGATCTCCCGAGGCTCAGAGTTGTATTCCAGGTTCTCTGTTAGGAAAGGAAAGGTTATCACCACATGAAATGCCCTACTGCAAGGCAGTAAATCCTGCACCTCTCAAGTCTTGCTTCTGTCTCTACAACACCACCTCTTGGTGCTTTAAAGACAAAAAGCTAATCCAGGAAACGACACACGGTGCGCCAGTACGGATGCTCCAGAGCCTCACCTCCTAAGAGACGCTGAACCCATTCACTAGCAGTATGAAAACTGGTTCATGCCTGAGACCACAGTCTGACATCAGGTTAGAGCAGCAGAGGGCTGGCCTGCTCCCACTTGGTTACACAGGTTGCAGTGAGCAGTGGCCTGCTCCCACTCAGTCACAGGTCCTGGTTGTAAGCACAAGGAGAAGCTGCCACACTGAGCTCTGATCCCTCAAGTCCCACGGGAGATCAGTTTCTAGGGAAGATCCTTCTCAGTTGCTCCAAGGGGAGGCTGACTGCACAGGGCTGTCCTGGCAGAGGAGCTGAGTGTTTCTTGCTCTACGTCACCAGCCCGGGTTTCAAGCATGTCTCACACTGTGCGCCGGACACACAGGTAGAAACAAAAGCTGCCTAAATCCCAAAGCCTGACTGATCTGCAAGGCAGGGTGGGAACAAGACGGGATGCATTCAGGAATAATTCATCTGTCTCAAACTATTCAGTTCACTACAGAGAGCACACAGAAGCTGCAATAATCCATACAGGCTCTTTGAAGCTACTGTATGCCTGTGTGCAGCCAAAAGCACAAGCACTTTCTACACCTCAGTGGGCTGGTGCAGTCCTTGCAAACTACCTTGTTTGTATACTGCACCACTACAGAAGACAACTGACACTCCAATATGCTCTGCAGAAGCACAGCTGAGCACTGAGCTGTGAACAGAGAGAGAAACACTGTGATGAAACAGAAGCTGGCAGGGGGGAAGAGTTTGAGTTTGGCACTAGGTGGGGAGCCTGAGAAATGTGCTGAAAAGCAGTTCTGAGCCAGGTACCTGGCCTCTGCTGCCACAAAGCAAACAAAAAAGACAAGAATGGACAGGTAGACACCAAACTCACTGTATGAAACAGGTGGTTTGGAATAGCTACAGCTCAACCTACAAATACCCAGAAAGGAGTCAAACTGAGGTACAGTCACTTATAATAAGCTTGTGGTTATTTCTGAACTGGGTAGATAAAACTCTGCATGCTGGTTTAAGATGCTTTCATTAAAAACTATCACCCCATCTCCAAAGTCAGGTCAGTAAGTTATGAAATAGACCCTTCCCAATTGATCTGAGGATGTATTTTAGAGGGATACTCAACAGTCAGGCAGCAAGATTTCAGCAAGGACAAACCCTTCAATTTTCCCTAGCCATATCAAAACACTTTTATGGCACAGAGACAACAGTGTCACCTACAGTCTGGTTAAAATACACTGTGCTCTGGAACCAGCCAGTATTACACCTTTTATCTAATTGTTTATAAACAAGTATAAGATGCATATTTTATTATATATTATGAATAGATTATTCTAGGAAGTTTTTGGGTTTTAAGACTCTTTGATATGTCAACTACTGCCTAATATAAGCAACATTCCCAGTTCCCACTTCATCCACTGAATATAAAGCAACTCTCAGGACAGTGGGAAATACCTACACTTTACACCTACAAAGGTAGGAGGGTCCTCTCCTATAAAACCACCTCTTGCTCACATGTATGGGAGCAGAACATGCTAGAGAGCACCCCTAGTGAAAGAGCTGAACTGCATTTTGTTCAGCATTTCCACTCCAGCAGCTCCTACATCTCTTAGCAAAACACAATCAGGCTGTGCAGCTGCCCTGCCAGCTGGATGGGATGCCTCTGGATCACAGGGAGAAGAACAAACATGAGGCAAAGGAACACTCTGTTTACAGTGTACAGTTACAGATGTATTATTCTTTCTTTTGAACCTCAGTTCAACACTTCTTCCTATATCCTCACCTGATATTCTGTCCATCAGACAAGCATTTCCTTTCTTACGGTATACTGCAGGAAGAGTGAGTGACAAACTTCTACATTGCTTTGCAGTTGTAGAAACATTCATTTTTTGTCCTCTTTTTATGAAAGGTGCCACTAAATCCATGCTACCTGTGTTCTTGGCACATAGTGTCTCGATGACAGCTGCTCAGAACCATGCCCTCACAAGCAAAGCTTGTTTGCTCCCTCACTAAATCCCATTTTGAGGTCCTGCCCAAAGCACAGTATGATTTCAAAGAGCGAGAGCTGCTGACAGAACTTCAGACTTCAGTAAAAGATGACTGACTTCTTTCAAAAGCAGCAATTATGACACCATAAAAACAACCATGTCCAAAAGACACTTCTTGGGCAAGAGGAGCTTATACCAGAGTGGTCCTTAAAATTAATTCATGGAGAGCAAACAAAGCAGGCCATGATTCAAAATCATTTTCCTTCCTACCTCAAACTTAACTAACAGTTTATGTTTCATACTTAAAAGAGTTAATCCCTTAAGCATCCCTTTCTCCTAACATACTTCTAAAATGGATAATAAACACAGGAGACTTACTCACCTTGAGCAGCATATCTGCAAGAGCCATCTTCCACTAGTACGTTGTAGAAAGGCTGGTGGGGGCCGTGTGGAAGGCTGTGGACGTTCATGTTCCGGATCCACTCATGCCCCATCATGCAGGCAGGATCCCAGCCATAAATCACACAGTTGTAGCCATATCTAATTAAAAGAAATAGCACACCCAAGACTGTGAGAGCTCCAGAGCCAGCTCTCTTCCCTCAAGATGAATACAGCACAAACAGGACAGGAACCTCGTGTCAGGTGGCACAAAGACTGTGTGTACATGTGTGTATTTTGAGGTGAGAGAAATGACCACCTCACCAAAGGAGTGACCGGATAAACAGACTGGAACAAACAGCTGAAGACAAAGGAAAACCAAACATTAGCAAGAAAAAGAGAGAATGGGAGAGATACTCTAAGCCAGCAACCAGGAGAACAGGAAACAACAGGGAGTGAATCAACCATCCTACTGTGTTGTGCAATTACTTGTGTGCCCATCACACAGATGTGGTAATCCCAGTACTAAAGCCATCATTATTTTCAGCATATTTATGTGATTAATCCTGAGGTATTCTAACTGTCACTGCTGATGCCCTTCAAATATGCTCCACACGTCGAGTCAGAGGAGTAGCTGAAGCAACACAGGGCTGGCATGTCACTCTGGCAGAGTAGTACAGACAGGAACACAAAGCCTCTGTGCAATGCAGGAAGAGGGGATAATAATAGCACAGGGAAAGATCTGTAAGCTGTCTTAGGAATCTTACAGTCTCTTTTGAAGTAGATTCTGTTCCACGGTCCCTCATCAGAAACTGATTACTGATGTTTCGTGAAGAGCTCCGGGCTGTGGAAATTCTACCTCTGCAAGCAAACAGCAGTGAATACACTTGCTCTCTCAAAGGACAGAACTGCTCCCATTTTCCTACAAGGTGCATGGCATTAGGTGCACATGGCATTTTCCATTCCAGATACCTCCTTGGCAGATAAAACCACATCTCATTACTATCAGAACCAACACCTCTGCACTCATCCTTACACTACAGCCTGCTAATATGGGGAAGGTTTTGACGGGCTCACCTCTTGTGTTTCATAATCAGCCCGATGGAAAAGCAGACCTCCTTGTGCTTCTCATCTGAACGGTGCTTCACTTCGGGTCCCACCTCCTCCTTCCGCCGCTCAATGTGCTCCAGGGTATGTTGAACTAGGTACCCAACGGCCCCATGCTGGGATGGGTCCAAAGCTTGAATATGCTGCAAGATGTCCAGAACCTTCAGCAACCAAACCAAAAGACAGATTCAGAACAAGTCTCTACAGCAGCCTGACACTTACATATATATATATACATATATATCACTCAAGTTAGCTATGTCTAAGTGCCCAGGCCTAGAGGTCCACCACACGAGTCTTCCACAGAGGACTGAGAACCTCTGCTCTAGCTACACACTCTCAAGGAGTTCTTCATACTGCCAACAGTTCTCTTTTAATTGTAAAGCTCCCTACTTTCAAGGAAGGGCACTGTTGAGCACAGCAGCTCCTTAAAACTATGTCATACAAGCTATCACGTCACATTTTGCGACCACAAGGCATTGACAAGACTGTTTCAAGGTTTCTGAAATGTTAAAGAGGTTGCTGTCTCCCAAACTGCTGCTGTGAAGTGATTCCAGATGACTTCTGCTGTACTTGAGAAAAAACATTTTAGTTTAAGAGTTCCTCAGCATGTCTGTGGGAACCTGACAGAGGAAAAACATTGCAAGACAGAAGGAAAGGCAAAGAGTCTCTGTGTTGCTATACCATGTAATAGTGAATAAGAGACAGAGAACATGCTGCCTCAGGATGACTAAAGAACACTAGAAGTGCACTCAAAGTAGCAAACCCTGTCAATCCAGAACACCAGCCCACCAACACCCTCTGGCACGCTGTTATGTGTGCCAGACATTAGAGCATCCTGCTACCAAGTTTGTTAGAGGCAGGAAGTCCAAGTTTTATTTTCTTTTCCTCCTTGCTCTTAACAAAACTGTTGCCTAAACAGGTTGAGAAAAGACAGATACATCCACCCCAAATACTCAAGTGCTGCCACAGTCCCAAAATCTGACACATTTCAGCACCTGGCAAAAGGACCATCTACTTGATCACACGCTGGAAGTTTTGGTCACTCTAAGTTCAGAGCAGCAGCAGAATAGAAATCTCAGGCTGTTGAGCATGAACATCAGCCAAGAGGCAAAGAAAATAAATTCAGAGAAAGAACAGGTGAGTAATAAGGCATGAGAAGCAGTAGCACAGCTCAGGCTTCTTGGCCACCTTAATTCTTTGGCTGGCTTCTCAAGAAGGATGCGAGAAACCTGGAAAATCCTACAGAAAGGGGAAGGCCTGACAGTGACCAGAGCTGCCAGATTCTTGGCTATTTCATTTACTGTTATTTGCAAACATTTAGGACAACATTCTATGCAACTTGGTTTGACTTTTAAGATTGTGTACCACTTGCCATAAATCTGGCAGACCTCTGTTAAATCCAGCGTCTTCTCTTCTGTCAGACACAGAGCATTCTCTCTGGCTGGCTAAAACTCTACCCAATAGCCTGGAACGACTGGATGCAATACTGCAAAGCCCAAATTTGCACATTTTCAGTGCATCTGGCAATGTGCTACAGAGAAATTACATGTAAAACTCAGCCATGCTGTTCTATTATTTGCTCTGAGAGGCAGAAAAATGCAAGTAGGTAAAGGCTTGGTGCTTTACAAACACATCACTGAGTGCCAGAAAGGGGAAGGAAGATCTTTCAGTGTTTCACTTAGCTGTCGCCTATACACATACAGTTGCTATTTCAGCTCAGTGAGTCCCCTCTGTAGAGAATTTCTTAGTTTGTGCTGGTTTTAACGTGGTGATCCTAAAGCTTGCTGCTGTAAGAAAGGAAGGGCAAGCTTAGCACGGTTTGTTCTTCAACAGGAAGGCAGCTTCTCCAGCAGTTCTGCACTTCAGTGAACTTGGTGGAAAGAGCTTTGCCTTCTGCTCAGCTGTCCAGCCAATAATTCTGACTCATCACCCAAACTTCACTTTTGGAAATGGCACAGGCATTGCCCAAGTGTGTGAGCTTCACTAAAGCAGTATGTGGAATTTTCACTAGGGAACACCTCTTTGCTGTAGTGACACACTAAGGAAATGATACTTTGAGTTACATGCTTCTTCCCTGTGCCTTTAACTCACTGAAAGGCACAGATGATCTAGACAACCAATTTTTAAGTCTCAGCACCTTCTTTCCCACATTCACAAGACAGCAGCACTCCAGCTGCTAAGCTAAAGGTGGTATTAAAAAAGAATCCAAGGACAAGAATATTACGTTGCTTTTTCACAAGAGCCACTGATTGTGTGGCTAAGGTTTCAGAGAATGGCTTTGGCTGTATTTATAAAACGTAAGTTCCTGTAACTTTTCTAATAAGGTAATTGCTTTTATACGAGTCCAGCAAGAGTTTTACCACCACTACCACAATCCAGTCATGAACCAGAATGCTCTTATAACTTACAGCCAGAAGTCCATAGCACTGGTTGCAAGATAAGCTGTCAGGCTTGGGCAGTAAATCATAAATTACGACTCAGACTTGATGCTGCTTACAAGTTTCCCCTAGCGCAAGCAAGCAAGAATCATCCTCCTTTCCCTGCTTCATAGAGTAGAAATTGATTCTCTGAAATGTGATAACTCATTCAATTGCATTTATTACAGAAACAACTTGTGGCAGACTGTAATGCAAGCTGACGTAGTCCAAAAATCAATAGACTAGTGTTAACAGTACTTAGTCTATGAGAAAGCATACAACCGAGTGGTGAGGTACCTTTTCTGGCCAGATTCCCAGGTGGAAGTATAACCTAGCCTGGAGCATTAGATGCTGCACATTGTCCGGATACATGGCCAGGTATAGATCCAATGAGTCTCTCAAGAGCTGGTAAGACTGATCAGTGCTTTCTCTGCCAGCAGAAAAGAAACTCAGTTGTAAGGCTAGCTCTTTAACCCCTGTTCCCAGTACTCTGATCCCAGTACAGGGACAGCCACAAAAAATGATGCTACAGGTACAGGCATGCTCATTCAGTAAGAGGGACTACAGCACTGACTGTCACTCATTGCATCCAACAGCCTGCTCAGAAGGAAAAATGCTACAACGTGACCTCTGATCGGAATCTACCCTCCCACTTCACTGACATTCTACTTGGTCAAATAATCCTACATGAAGAATTTGCTCTCCAAGCTATCTCTTTTGAAATCTGCTTTTGTTCCCCTACTTTAATTACACCTAAAGCAATCCTCTCACTCTGATTTCTGTCTAGGTGATTATCAGGGATATCTGAAAATCATAGAATCATAGAATAGTTAGGGTTGGAAAGGACCTTAAGATCATCTAGTTCCAACCCCCCTGCCATGAGCAGGGACACCACACACTAAACTATATTGCCCAAGGCTCTGTCCAACCTGGCCTTGAACACTGCCAGGGTTGGAGCGTTCACAACTTCCTTGGGCAACCTATTCCAGTGCCTCACCACCCTCGCAACCCAGATGCTCCACAAACCAGCACTACCTCTGAAACTGCTCATTTGAGCATGTGGGGTGTGCTTACCAGGTCATAACGAAGGTCTCTGTTCTATGGTGGGCAGTGCCTATCAGCTTTTCACAAAAGCAAAAAAGAGATCTGTCCATTTACTTACAGAGAACTAGTTTTACTGACTACTCTTGTTTCCACATAATACCACCACAGGTGATTAAAAACAACTAGAGAATGCAACATGACATACAGAATTTAAGATCCCCTGGGGTGACTGGTATCTTTTTAAAGCACTCACTCAAACACTGTGAACAAGCAGTGTGGGATGTGCAGACAGGATACTCTGGGCCCTTCTTTTCAGAGGCCTGAGAGGCCTGATGATCAACTCACCGCTTGCCAAGGTTTAAGAGATTCCCCACCATCCGCTGCAAGACCTCTTTTGAAGTCACCACTCCATAGAACTCTTCTGTCACATGGTGGCCAATAAGGTACTCGCACTCCTTCACTGTCAGCTGCTTCCCCTTCCCAAAGGCATCAATGTAGGTGTAGTCAAAAATATCAGTGCTTCTAAGGAAACAAGGGAAGTAAATGGTGATGATGTGTCTCATGGACAAGCAGCATTACCTATTTCTGTTCTTCCCTCAGCAGTTTCAAGCTTGTTTGAAAAGCACATTTCATTCATACCTCAGGTCTCCCTTAAAAAGAGATTACCTGGTACCTTCTCTCTCCTTTTAGCTGCTGGTTCAGATAAACATATATGGGAAGAGAGAGAGGAACTACAAGGACATTTCACTCTATCATGCCAGTTCTTTCCTTCAGATATTTTCACGTTTGCTGTATCTATTGCTAGATTATATTATGACAGTGCACTGGAAAGTGTAGCAAAGCCCACGCATATGACATCTGAAGCTTAGTTCCAAAAAAGTCACTTGGACTGCTGATGTCATTCACAAACCACAGAGTTCTGTAAATTGATCATGATCTGGTCAAAGATGTGTTCTGCATTGACTCAGAGAATTAAATAAATACCCAGAACAGCAGCAGTGGCCTGTAGCAACTGTTCTGTATGAAAGGTTAAATGAAATCAGCACCTTTTTTCTTCTTTTCAGCTTTTCATAATTTTCTTGAGTCAGAGAATCATTACCTCATGGTTACTATTACTGTACACAGGAAATCTGTTACTATTTATCAGCAGCACAGTTCAGTTCTGGGAAAACTTTTGTAGGGGTCTGATCTTTTTCTCTGTATAGGTTATAATTATAGATGGAAAATAATAAAACATTCTGATACAGGTCTGGACTTGTAAATCCTTTTTGGCTTTTATTACTGTGGACATAGCTTCAAGATTCAGCAGGTCACTTACCCTTCCTTTCCTTGACACCATCGCAGCAGAAAATGGCTAGGGAAGTTCACTGGTTCAAGCTTGACTCCCAGCTGCCTGGCAATTGTTAAATACAGCACAGACAAGCTGATGGGAATTCCTGTCCTGCGGATCAAAACCTGGGGATAGAAGTGTGATAAAAACATGAAGGATACTAAGAAAACCAGAAACCCCTAAGGTTTGATTTCACAAATGAAAATACACCGACTTGACAGAATATGCGCTGAAGGATGGTATCATATTGACTTTACAACAAGTGGTTCTTGAGAGTGCGTTATTTGCCTGACTACGTTCAGACAGATAACCACCACAAATAGATGTTTCAAGCCTTCTAGTCTCCTGGTTTTTGTGCAACATACACATACCTGGTGAATGTATGAATTCAGGGAGTTGTAGTAATCCAGTTCATTCCCTTTGTATTTCAACTGCTCATATAGGACACAATTCATAGCATCAAGTACCTGCCGCTGAAGCTCCACTTCTGGAATCAGGACCTCTCCTAAAAATACATGCAATGAAATAAAGACTGAGGAAACAAGTGTGCTTAACCTCTGTGCAATGAACCTTATAGCAAAATTCTTCCCAAGGACTAAGGACACAAGGTTGACCATGGCAGTGTTGTAGTACTCTGCTCACAACGTGGCCTGGCTCAGTGGATCACCCTGCACCTAAGCTGTGCAATAGCAATTCCTCGCTTCCTTCTGTGGCTAAAGGACTGGATCCTAACCACCCCGTGCCAGCACAGGGCTGCAGCTGGACACATCATGCTGCCTGGGCATGGGAAGTGTCCTTTCACTGCTTTAGAGTCCCAGCTTGGCCACACCAGATATACAGGTACAGGCAGATCATCCATTCTCCCTTTGGAAGACAGCAAAAGTTGGATAGTGGTGATAAAAAAAAAAAATCTACGAGCAAGATGCTGCCTGACCTTTGGAGATGTTAAAGCACATACCGTTTCTACTCCTGCTGCCTTTGAGACTTGCAGAGGAAATGAGGTCAATCCCAGGGGGCCCCACAGCTGAGTGACAGATATCAGGACTATTTAAGTCTTCAGGGACAAATGGGAAAAGAAAGAAGAAAGAATTCCCCTCCCAATTCTTTTTGCTTAGACAGCATCAGATGGACTGACAACCCTGGGCTACGGAGTCCCTGTGGCTGCTTCCTGAATGATGGTTTAGGCAAATGTCAGAATATGCTTGCCAGGGAATAGACCAACAGCTCTTTAAGCAGCAATAACTCAACAGTTTCACCGTGTCTGCCTGTGTCTAGGCTTGCAGAAATGCTCTGCAGTAAAGCCTGTGTTTCTGTACAGTACCTGCCTTGGAAGCCAAGCTGGGGTGCCGCGGGTTCCTTGTCCGCAGGACTTTGCGCACTTTGTCTGTGATATCATCCACTTGTGCCTGGACACTCTTTAAGCAGATGTCTGACAGGGGGTTACAGTACTGATCGATTAAAACAGCACCTGCAAAAAACAAGCTATATAAGAAACAGGACTTCAGTTTTTTCTTGGCTTACTTTTCCCTGCTTTAAATTCCAGACATGCAGCAATCAATTGCAGCAGAACGTAAGAGCTTTCCTTTTAAAATCTGCAGTCATATATCGGATTTGTCACATAAAATGCAAAGAATAAGCTGATGTGAGAAATACCAATTCAATTCAGTATTCTCTTCTCCACCATCTGGAAGGGAAAGCAATAGATTCATACATTGAGCAGGTATGCTGCTAGACCAGGCTTAACGAGCCAACCCTCTGGTCACACTGCATCTCCTGGCATCCTCCCAACCTACAATGTTTTTTATTCAGAGCCTGAAATCATCTCAACTTCACTACTGCTTTAGTTCTGATTTGTTCTTGCCACATCCTTCATAGCTATCATTCTTGCTTATCATTCCCTCTTCTACTACATTCATCTTTCTCTTCCACACCCTCTTCCATCTTCATGTCAGAAACCCACTATTACAGATTGTCATTTTCCTTCTGCCCAAGCCTCTCCTGTCAAACTTCTGCAAGAAAAAAAATAGCCCTTTCTCAGAATCTTCTGTCATCTTGTCACCACTCCTCTTTCCAACTTTTTTCAACCTTTGGCATCAACTGTATTTATCTGCAAGAATTTTGCATGGATCATACCTCTTCCAGCTTCCCACATGCTTTGGTAACATGTCCATGACAGGCCTGTAATCAAGGCTTTCAGCAGGGGCCCAGGCAATGTCTTCTTCACCTCCCCCTCCTGCCCCCCAAAGTGCTCCTCGTGCTGACGAGATGAAACCTCACAAAAATCTGTGTTGGTGCTTTAACAGTACCTCCATAGCAGACAAATGCATGTTATTTGTGACCCATATGATGAAGTCACATAATTATCTGCCTCGGTTGTTTCCAGAAAAGGCCACTTTTAGCTTTCCCTTCCTGCCCTACCACAGTCTCTTCTTCAAATTCTATTGCCAGTAACAAGCATCAGCTTTGGTGATAAAGACTCTTTAGTATGACATTTCTAAGGTATGTATCAAGAGTAAAGGACTCTTCTACAGACACTGGCAGCTTTTGATCCATTCAGAAGACTATATTCTCCACAGAAAGCCTGAAGAAGAGAATAATCCACCGGACTGAGGACATTAATAGCAGAAAAGCCTTTTCTTTCCTCCTATCAGGTGCACGTGCCTTCCCACCCCGTGACTGGATTTCTGTCTATTCCCCAGCTCTACAATGCACAGCTTCAACAGCAAATAGCTCCCAAGAGAAAGTCACATCACACAGGCTTTAAGCTGCAACAATTCCCCCTGCCTGCAGGTTGCTCCTTGCCTTTATCTGAGAAGCTCCTGGCAAAGGAGATAAGAGGGAGCTGACTCGAAATCAGATCAGTTGGTCTGGTAGGGCCCTATTCAGCCCATGAGCCACAGTTAAAATGCTTCTGAAACACCAGCTAATGAGGATGCTGAGCTACTGCTGATTTCTTCACTATATTATTCAGGATTCAAATACAAGCATTTAACATTTTCTCCAGTGGTTTTCAGCTCATCTGTCCATACGCAATGATTCAAGCTCACAGCACTGACAGAAGCTAATGCAATCCTGACACTCCCGTACACAACTACTGCAAGATTTTAAGGATTTCTGGTACACCAGAAATGCAAACTCAATTCTGAGGTGTTGTCCAAGCTGAAATATAAGCGAGGAAGGCTCTTTCCAAGTACAAGAACAATGATGGAAAGCTGCCATTAGGTGCTCTACATGGGATTGGTGCCAAAGACTTACCCTCCAGAAACGACTGCCGATCAGTCGGGCGCTGAAGATACTCCTTCAGGTTTTTTAGGATGTTCTGTTGCCGTAGGAAGTAGAGAATTTTCTTTGCATAGTACTTCCAAGTGAGACCTTTCCTGCATATTTAAATACAGAAAACAGGATTGCCCTAAACAAGCACTTTAAGGGTGAGCATTTGGTTCCACTTTTTCAGTGACTACAGCTTTACAAGTTAGACTATTGCTTTGCTAAACCAGTTTGACAACACTTATCAGTTAAGAAACAACCTAAAATGTAAGTGTTAGAAGGAAATCTGTCATCAAAAAAGCACAATATAAGCAAAACATTGCTGCTATTATCTCTGTTTTTTAACCTATCAATCACCAGTATGTAATTCTGAGGGGATACAGTATCATGGGAAGCAACACAGATCCTAAGTAAAACAGCTCAGGAAGATGTGAATAAAGTCCTGATTTCATTCATAAAACATTACCCTCTGACTGGTAGTAATCCAGATTAATCTGATTAATCCAGATGGAGTAGATCCAAATTGACTCTGGATCTCTCCAGAGTCAATCTTAAAGCATCCTCTCACCATCAAAGCTCTGGCTTTTAGCAACGGGCTACCCAGTACCTCACTGAGCACTTTTACACCAAGTAGTTAGGAATGGTACAAAGTCCTGGCCCCCAAAAAACCCAAAGGGAAAATTCTACTGATTTCCAGACTCTGCCCTTGCTGTGTGCTTAAAACAAGACCAGTTTCCTTCTTCACAAATCAGCCTCTGTCCCTGCTTACATTCCCTCTCCTCCAGACTGCCAGTCATATCAGCCTTCTTCATACCTCTGTGCAGAACAATCAAACCTCCTAACACTTTATCCTCTTCCAATAAATCGGGATGCTCAATAGGGACAAGTGCTTTATTGGGATATCTTCCAGGGAAATGATTTAGCCTGATGCTCCTGAATGGCAATGACTACAGCTTAATCAGGGTGTAATCAGCACCAATTCTGCTTTATGGGGAGGCACTTGGCCAGTGCAAAGGCTCGAAGGTTTTTTAACCAGTTGTCAAATGAGAGATGTTTAGTCCCAGTTCAGACAGAGAAGGTAATAAAATGGATGTCAGAAGGCAAAAAATAAGATGATTGCCATTCCAGTTATGTTCTTCCAAGCTCTGCTAACAGTCCCTTTAATCAAGGCTATTAGGCTGCGTTAAGAGCAATCTATTGCTGTTTCGTATCACAGCAAAATCAGCAACGTTTATATGCTACCAGCAAACTTCAACTAAAGCAGTAACATATTAATCTTGGCCAGTGTTAACCATGGTGATGAGAATACCCCGGCAGATGCAAGCCAAAAGTTTTATTTACCTGCTTGACATTTCACCTGTGTGAATAATCTATAGAACTGCAAATCCTGCAGTGGCTGAATTAAACTCAGTTGCTTATTTGCAGACAAGAATTGTACTGACCTACTACAGCTAAGAAAAGCAACAAGAGGAGGACAAAAATAAGATGCTATAGTTTCATGATAGAGGGGTTCATGCTCCTTATTGAGTATTCCTGCTTCCCTCCAGTGCTGTGGCCTCATCCTCCAATCAGTTCAGCAAACTGATCCAGGTTTAAATAAAAAAGGAACATGAGGATGTCCTTAAGCCAAAACTACTGCAGAGAAAAGGGTGCATAGAACATTGTCCCAAGAGATGTCATGAACTGACAAGGAAACAAGCAACAAACAGTAACACAAAGCCAGAGGAACTTCTTCCTGTAGAGCAGTCTACATGGTTTCTCCTGGGAATATTACATCTATTCTGAAACTAAACTCATAGCAATACTTCCCAGCCTTGGTAGGCCTGGGGATGTTGTTTTATGAGTGACAAAAGGACAGAAGCTGAGGTCAGGAATTCACCACAGTGACATTCCACCAGTGGAAGAAGGAGAAAAATCCCTTCTATTCCTAACCCCCTCACTCTCTTACCTTCCTTCCATGTTAAGGATACACATCAGCTCATCCTCAAAAAAATGACTTGGGCACCCAAGAGTCTCAATGTCACTGAACCCATCACAGGGGACCTGCCAAAGCAGACAATGAATTATGCAAAGCACAACAGGTTCTTCTCAAAAGAACATCATTTCATAAGAGGTCTCAAAAGCAAGTTTGTTCCGTGTTTTTAAATTTATGTGTCCAGCTTACCAAGCACTTACAGTCTCTACTCGATGGATTCATTACCAGGATGAACTGAGAGCCCCAGCAGCACCCTACAGCAATTTGAGCTAACTACTACAGCATTCAGGGCTCCGACAGTGGGTGTATGGAGCAACACAAGCACCCCAGATCTTATGCATGCTTTCCAATTCAGTGAACCTGTGCCTGGTTTTGTCTTCAAATGACTTCTGACAACTCACAGGACACATCCTTGCACAAGGCCTGGCAGTGAGATAGACTCACAGGCTGAGGTTATGTGTCAACAAACTATTCAGAAGTTCCCAGAGCCAGGTCTGAACATGCAGCAATGAGCAAAGAGCTTTTAAAGCTGCAGCAGCTGAATGTGATACGCAGAGTGTGCTTCGCACCTCTGGATTTTGAGCTGTCCTTCCCCTTTTGGCTAGTGATGGAGCATTTTCATACAAAGTGAGGAAATACAAGATCTCTGATGGTGTAGTTGAAAAGATGTGAAGAGAGAGGAAAGACAAGCTAATAAAAAGTACTGAAGAAGTAGCTACGCTGTTGCACATACTTACGTAAGAGGACTTACATGTTCTGAAAAGAACCTTTTGGAGAATGAAGCTACAATTCTCTGGGCTTCCAGGCCAGCATTGTGCCGTGCTTTGTACTCTTCAAACCAGCTAACACCATCTGTGTGGCTGTAGTACTTCAGCAGCGATGGCCATCTACACAGTAAGACAGAAGTGAATACATTCATTAGTATTTCCACATAAGCAAGAATCTCCAAAACTGTGAAATGTTACTTACTTTAAGCACGTGACTTGAGGAGCTGAGACACTGCCAAGACACAGCACAACTTTAAATGTAATTGTATAAATTAAGCCAATGACTCAAGCACCAAAACATAAATCCAACTGATTTTGTTGATTACTTAATGGTTAGTTAAAATTAAGGTCTCCTGAAGCCTGACAGCAGGAAACCTTCAAAAGGTCAGACTCTGGGTATTTCAACACCTAAATATCCTAAACATTTTTGAGATGTCCTCTAGAGCTTTGCAAGATCAACACAGGTATCACCCTAGCAGGAAAGAGACAGAGTTTTATAATAAATAACAAAGTTTACATGTGATACTGCTTCAGACTGGCAAACTAACTTGTCATCTAACAGAATGAGAATTCATTGTCCTGTGTTCTTCCTCCTGCCTTGTGGGTCTAATTGAGAGGATGCACAAAACAGAGCTCCCTCTGTTGCCCTTGCTGGTGGCAACATCTACTGGAGGAAAACAGAATTCTGGTCAAATTGTGACAGCTAAATGCTTTTGCTCTTCATTTTTAATACAACAAATAATTGTCTTTTACAAACCTTATAAAAGAAAGCTGTACCTGCTTTACAGAGTCTAAAAGTCCAAAAGCTAAAACACAATCCACAGCTTTGCTTCAAGGTTCGACTGAAAACCTAACTTCAGGTAATGTTCTGGGGGCTATTAGCACCAGCACCTTGTGCAATAAAACACCAGTACAGCAATACCCACGACTGCTCTGGGCATATCAAGATCATTTGTGTAGGAAGCATGAAGAGTCAGTGCAGATGGAACTATTCTGGGGAAGAAAGCTGAGAGAAAGGCCTCTTAATTTAATTTATAGGCGTGTTTATGTCACATATTGGGATTCTCTTAATATTCACTGGTTTTCACAAAACATTTCGCTTTAACTACATGGATTGCCTTAGGTTCTTTTCAGATTTTATAGATATATATACATACACACACAGACACACTTTCATACACCTATATATGTTTATTTTTATAACTAGAGAAAAGGCCAAATGTTTAAACCACTACTTTTGTGCAAAAAATCATTAACAACTGACCAAAACACACAGTTATGTCCGTCCACACATGGAAAATGTTTTACTACCAGTTAATCATAAAACTCCACTGCAATTGCAGGTACAAAATGAAGTCAAAGACTAACCAAATAACTTCACATTACATAACAACCTCTCTCCTGACAGCTCCCCTGCCATTCATCTGCTGCTGAAATGGAGCCACGTCGTAATAACAATGACAATCGTTTATTTTAGGATGAGAAAGAGTAATTTCTGGGGTTGAAATGATACTGAAAACGTTAGGAAGATGAAGTGCAATTACTCACGATGGAATCCAGCCAGGACGACAAGGTCAACGTGCAAACTCCTGCCAACAGTTCTACGATCAAAGCCAGAGGAGGACAGCAGCATGTGCTAATCACCCACCACACTCCATTTCAGCTGCTGGATCTCACCCATTTGTACAATTTCAGGTTCACTTCAGAAATCAGAGACCCTGAATTTGTGACAGTATCTGGCCAGTCATCCCAAGCCGCAGCTCAGTGAGCTGGGGAAGCTGTAATGG